CCTTCCGAGGAGTGGCTGGTGGGTTTGAACCACCAGCCGTCTAGTTAGCAGGCAAGTGTCTTAGCCACTATGCTACCAGAGCTCCCAATTAAAAGCTTACATAATGAAAATTATAAATCACAGCTGAAAGAGATTACAGAAGACTTAAAGAGGCAGAAAAATGTTCCATGCTTATGGATTGGAAAAATAAATGTTAAGATGTTAATACTACCCAAAACAATCTGTAGATTCAATGAAATTCCAATCAAAATTCTAACAATATTTTTTTTCACAGAAATGGCAAAACCAATCCTGAACTTTCTATGGAATAGCAAGAGGCCCCTAATATTGAGAGCAAGGTTAAAAGAGAAGAACAAAGGAGAGCTCACACTTCTTGGTTTAAAACATACCTTACAAGTACAATAATCAAAACAGCCTGGTAGTGATATAACAATAGACATATAGACAAATGAAAAAAAATTGAGTCCAGTAATAAAACTACACATTAGTGCAAGTGATTAAAAAAAAAAAAAAAAAAAAGATTGTGATTTGGATGAAAGTTTACAGAGTAAATTTGTTTTCCATTCCATAGTTTGTACATAGTTTGTTTAATGACATTGACTACACTCCCCACATTGTTTGCAACTCTCTTTCCACTTCCTTTCAATGGTTTCCTTTTCCGTTTCCTTCTTTATTATGCATTCCCACTCTCTCAGCTATCTCCCTGTACAAATACTATCCTTCTGATCTCCCATGGTTCATTGCTGTAAGGAGTATACTTACCTGGTGTAATTATTTACCTTGTAGGACTGCCTACTGTTTAGCTTGAAGCCATGGAAGTAAGCTCAATCCCAGGCCTGAAGGTTCACTAGGGGCCATAACCTCAAGAGTTTCACTAGTCTCTATCACACCAGTAAGCCTGTTTTTTTTTTTTAAGTGATTTTGAGTTTGGTTCCACATTTTTCTCCTACTCTATCCAGGATCTTCTATTTTGATCCCTTTCTGAGTGGTGGGCAGTGGTAGCCAAGCACCATCTAGTTCTGGTTTCAGGGTCATGTAGGCTGAGGTTGTTTTGGTCCATTAGTCCCTTGGACTAACTTGTTTCCATGTGTGTTTGGTTTTCTTCATTTTTATTTGTTCCTGATGAGGAGAAACCAATTGTTGCACTGTACATGGCCACTAGTAAGCTTTCAAGATTCCAGTCAATACTCAGCAAAGTAGGATGTAGAAAAGTTTTTGTGTGGCATACTATGCCAACTGAGCTTGATGTCTCCCATGACAATGATCTTAAGCCTGCTGTTCCAGGAACTCACTCCGTTAAGGTGTTAGTCTGTAGCCAAGAAGTTATGATAATTTTGCCTCCTAGCAGCACTGTTACATGTATGGGCATTCTTATAGCACATACAAATACATATGTAGAAGTATTATCTGCGAAACTTACATACAGTCATGGAATATTCCCTT